ACACGATCTCCTACGCCTGGGCTTGTGACAAAGAGTTGTTGCCTTTGTGATTGTCTACGCCTATCGGCGATAGAGGCTTCGCCTCTCCTGGCACTCACGAGGCTACGTCTTGGGAGCTGGTCCGCGGGCTTGGTAATCTTGCTAACGACAACTCATCCAAGTGTGTGTGTGTGTGTGTGTGGATGTGTGTGTGTGTGTGTGTGCGGTCAGACGCTCGTGTGGCGTCGCCCCGCCAGTCTCGGCACAGCCCCTCACACGTCTGCTGCCCCCGGGGGAGCTCCCCCGAGGGCCATCGCCACTCGGTCGGCACACCACTCACACGTTTCGTAGCGTTCTGAGCTCCACCGAGGGCCCCAGCAGGTGCATTCGCATGGCGTCCCTGCGTCGACTTCGGGACACCTGTCACGCGCTTCATGGCCCCATAGGCTGGCCCATAGGGAGCTGCACCGAGGCACCAGTGTGTGCGTTCGCATGGCGTCGCCCCGCCCATTTCGGCACACCCACTCACATAGCCCCATAGGGAACTCCATCGAGGGCCCCGGCGGGTGCGTCCGCATGGCGTCCCTCCGCTCATTCTGGGAGACCCCTCGCACGCTTCGTGGCCCCAAACTCCATCGAAGGCCCCAATGGCAGGGTCCACGTGGTGTCGTCCCGCCAAGGTCGGCACACCCCTCAAACGGTTCGTGGCCTCTCAGGGAGCTCTGGTTTCGGACTCAGTAGGCACGCTCGCATGGTATCTCTGCGCCCACTTTGGCATACCCCTCGCATGTTTCGTGGCCCCGAGGGAGTTGCACCCACTGTCTCAGTGTGCGTCCGCATGGCGCCTCCGCTTCGCTTTGGCGCGCATCGTGCCCGCTTCGTAGCCCCCATCCGCACTGCCCACAGCTCCATACCGCTCGCGGTGCGTCGCCTATGAGGAGAGGGCCGTAGCTTGCTTTACCCGCAGAAGCACAGGATCGGGTCCCTCGCCAAGCTCCGTCATGCGGCAGCCTGGATCCTTCGCGACCCCCGATCCCCAATCCCCGGGAAGAGGAAACGGGGAGGGAGGCCGGGGGGTGGATATCATGGTGGGGGCCATGATATTTCCCCAGATTTCATGGCGCTTCTTAGTTCAATGCGTCCCCGGTCCCCCCCCTGGGCCGCGCACGTGCCGTCGGCCATGATCTGCGCCCCCCCCCCCCCCTCCTTGTACGCCCCCCTCTTGGCCGCCCCCCCCGACGAGAGTCTTTCGCCGCTGTTGGTGCCCTCCTTTCCCCGAGGCGGGAGCTTATACATGACCACCGCCTGGAGGATCAATTTTCGGGGACCTCGGCAGGCGGTGGATATGGATATAGTCGGGCCCCCGGGGGCCAACCTATATCCATGCCCATCGGGGGCAACGATAGGGGGGGATAGGCACAGGGGCGGGATGCATCGACCCCCAATCGCCCACTGATCGCCGACAGGGGCCCGATAGCCCCAGCCTGACCAGGAAGGTGCGGATTCACGATCGGGGGCCCATCGCCGATCTATCGGCGATGCATGCCGATTCCAGGTCGATGCGTCCCCCCCTGTGCCAGTCCCTCCCTAGCGCTGCCCCTCCGTCCACCGCCCGCCGGGGCGCCAGGGCGTCGGTTCCCAGGCGGCGGATATGGGCAAATCCTGTCCCTGTCCCCTTCCGTATCCATTTTGGCTCAAGCCCGCGGTCGAGCGACCGCGGGCAGCCGCCCTCGCATAGGCCTTCTTGCTCCCGGGCGGTCGGTCTCTCCCCTCGCGCCGTGCGATAGGCGCCGGGCTGCTGGGCGGCGAGCTGGGGACTGTGCTGCAGGCGCCGCGGCGGCGCTTGTGCGCGCGAGAGGCGCACCGCGCCTGCGGGGCGTGCCGCGGACCGTGGCACCCACGGGACGTTGCGGCCTCCGTCGACGATGGCCGAGGCCTCCCCCGCAGCCCCGGAGGGTTCCTGGCAGCGGATCTGGGTCCCCAAGGGCATGGCAGTCTGGCTTGGGCCCATCCCAGGTGCCGCGGGCTGCCCTGTCGCACCTATCCCGGCGACAGGCGCAGGGAGTGGACGTGACGGCTCCGACGGCGACGGCGAGGGAGCCGGCGCACCCGCCACGCGCGGCAGCGCCGAGGGAGCGGAGGCGACGCGAGGCTGCGGCGCCGCCGTGCAGCATCCGCCGACGCTCCCCACATCGCTCGCTGGTGGCAGCCTGCCGCCTCTGCCATCGGTGCCAGACTTCCCGAAGCTCGATGGCGATGCCACTGGCGACGTGAAGGTTGGCGTGCGCTTCAACCCAGAGGTGGAGTGCAAGCAGTGCTCAGCGGCGGCGCCGGCGGAGGCGCCTGCAGCTGCGACCGCACGTGGTGCTCCTGCGCGCGAGGGCGCCGGGAACAGTCAGGAAGTTCTTCAGCATGATGGTGCCGAGAACCTGGCCGAATGCGATGAGCTCACCTTCGGCGCCGCCTCGGACCTATTGGCCCAACTCGATGCCGATGGTGCCGCCCATCTTCCACTTTTTCTCCGGGATTCGCGCGAGGTGACCATGGAGTCCAGCTACGACCCGCTGGTCCTCACGGCCGAGCCGAGCACGCAGTTCCGGAGCCTCTTGCGGCATGCCGTGGGTGTGTCGCGCCAGGCTGGTCTCGCTGTCGAGCCCAAGAGTCTGGTGATGTGCATGCTGAGGGAAGGCGTCATTGAAGTGGCCTCTGCCGCGAAAAAGGCAACTTTCCAGAGCATTTTGGAGCAGGCAGCGCCCGCGTCCTTCGTCTTCATCTCGGTCCAGACGACCAGTGATGCCTGAGTTTTCAGCCTGCCTGGTCATGCCAATAAATTAATGGCCCGAGTTTGTCGTAACGGCCCGCGGCCGTTCGGAGCGCAGGATTGCCCACTGGCCGCCCTGCTGCCCATGCTCGCCGTGCCATGGCAGCGACGCGTCCACTGACCAGCGCTGCTCCTGGCCTCCCATTGCTTTTACTAGTTGCCCAGCTGTGTGGCCGGATTCGGCTCGGATTGCTGGTGCCGGGTCGCCCTGGCGGCCGTCGTCGTCGCGGCTGGATTCGGCTTGTCTCGCTGGCGTCGGGTCGTCCCCCGTTGGCCCTCGTCGCCACGGACGGTGTAGTGCACTGCACGCGCCCGATGGCTTCCCACAAACGTGGATCGCCGTCAATGATAAAAACGGGGTCGCCCCCGTTTTTGGCACGCACGCCTTTTTCGAAACTTGTCTTGAGACGCTTCGCGCAACCCTTGCTAAATAAATAAATAAATCCTGTCCCTGAATCCAGCCCTGAAGCGAGGACGGATCGTAGGGAGGTGCAGCTAGCAAGCAGCAAGCAAACCTGAGACATCCTGAGGATATCCTCGGTCAGCAACAAAAATCCCCGCCCCCGCGTCTCTCCGCGCCTTTGGGTGCCCTCCTGCCCCCGCGCCCTGGCCTGCGCGGCCGCCCGTCCTCGCCCGGCCCTGCTCGCGCGGCCGAGCGCCAGGAGCGCTATGTTGGGGGTGTGCGGCAGTTCTCAGGACGTCTTTCTCTTTCTCTCTCTCTCTCTCTCTCTCTCTCTCTGCGTGTTGGCCGCAGCGTTCATGCTCGAGTCTTTCCCTGGCGGCGACGCCGGAGGTGCATGATTCTCACGGCCTCCTACACCCTCTGGGAGGCTGCGAAGGTCGTGGGGATGTGGCTGTGCTTTTCAGTCGTGCGAAGCGAGGCAGTCAAATGGTAAGCCTTGCGGTGGGGGCGTTGGTTACATAAGGAATGTGCCCAGGAGGCGCCAGACCCTGGATGATTCCTCATCTGATGGGGGTGGTGGTGATATCCATGGCCAAGCTTCGAGTGGAGTTCCACCAGCTTCCAGACCCTGGATTCCTTGCCCAATGCTTCCTTATCCAGTCCCCCCACCGTATCTTAAAGATTCGGACCATCAAACAGGGCAGCTCTCAGCCCGCTGGGGCAGAAAAAAGAGCGCGACGTCGGTGCCCCTCGCGCCCGTGGGGGGGGGGGGGTCGCGCGCGCCTCTGTGTGTGTGTGGTTCCAGCACCCCAGACGTGATGGCGTCGTAAAAAAAATCCAGACATGATGGCGTCGTACAAAACAAAAACAAAAACAGGGCGGAAGGTTTTTCGCTAGTTTCGGCCCCTGGGGGCCCTCGCCGGGCCTCGGGGCCGTCAAAAGACGACTCGGGACGAGAACCCGGCCACGGGGAAAGGGGGTCGGGACTTCCAGGGACGCCGTCCTGAGAAAATCAGGACGTCGCCTGTCTGGGACGCCACCTTCGGGAAAATGAGCGGCGATGTGGCCCTGCCGGCCCAGGCCCCCGCGAGTCATGAAGAGCAGCGGCGGGAACTGTTTCGCCATCTTCAGCCTCCAGGGGGCACTCGCCGGCCGGCCTCGGGACCGCCGAAGAAGATCAAAGAAGGACTCGGGAGGAAGAGCCGTTCCCGAGGAACGGGTCGGGACCTCCTGGGGATCCAACGGTATGAGTGTAGCGTGACGTCGGGGGGGTGGGAATTCCACGACGCAGAAGACGGGGTCGTCTGCACGGACATTGGCGCGCAAGCCTGCTCTTCCTCCATCCTTTCTCCTCCTCGCCTGTTCCCTGCTGGAATCCTCTCGAGTCTTCCTTTGCCGCTCTGGAGGCCTCCTGGAAACAGCTGTTTGGGTAAACCGTTCCAGCGAAGGACAACTTTCAACTCGACAGGGTCGCGTGAGATCCGATCCCGAGTCCAACCTTTGAAACGGCGCCGCTGCGCCGCGTCCCGAGGACAACATCTACCACGACAGGGCTCCGTGTTGGGAGGATCTCTCGCGCAAAACGCTTGCTTCGTAATGTTTGTCGACGGCGAGCGCCTTTCCCTCTCAACCCCCCTCTGATTATTGCAACTCCCGAAGAGAATCGCTCGGCGCTGCCCGTCATACGGTTTTAATGACTGCTGCCTTTTCACATGGACGAAGGCTGACCCACTCAGCTGCTGAGGCCTGACCTTCGCAGCCTGGTGGCCCCGCAAGAAAGCGGGCCGGCGACTAAAGTGCAGCAGTGCACCAACAGCAGCGTCATCCAGGACGGCCGAGAGGTCCCCTGCTGCTACAGAGGCTCGGGGTTCTCGGACAGCGTGGTCTGCGCCCGGCTGGGCAGCCCGCTGATCACCCAGGAAACGCGGCCCGACATCTGCACCCAGAGGGTGGAGTCGCACTGGGAGCCGCTGCCGCAGTGCAGATGGCTGTGCGACCCGGGCCCTCTCCTCGCGCAGCCCCACGTCGAGGCGAGCGAGGAGTGCAGCGACTGCATCGCCGGCCAGGAGGACTGCCAGTGCAGGGTGACGTGCGCACCCGGCCACGTGCGGGTCGGAGGCGGCCCGGCGACGGGCACCCGGAGCTGCGGAGGGGACCTGTCGTTCGGCGACCCCCCCGTGTGCCGCGTGCCCCTCCCGGGCGAGACGAGGGGCGCCACCGAAGAGGGCGGCGACCCTGGCGGCGACCCCGGCGGCGACCCCGGGGGCGACCCCGGGGGCGACTCTGGCGGCGATGCCGGTGGAGTCCACATGCCCAAGGACGTCGTGCCTCCG